TGGGGTGGGGGAAGAGCCACTAGAGAAAGGGGAGTAATTCCTCACTTGGTATTGTTTTCCTGCCTGTCACTGTCCCACCAGGACCTCTAGTCAGCACTTCGCCCGGAGGTTCGGAGGCACAATTAGTTGCTGCTTTTGTTAGTTGGTTGAAAACAAAGCAGAAGAATTCCCAAGGCAGGAAAAGTTTAAACCTAAACATCCTTAGAACTGTGCACTTTAAAAATCGCGCAATTCACTCGTTAAGAATTGGTCTTTACACCCTCTCCGCGAGCTCACTGGAGCCCCCACTTGCCTTTAACTGTTAGAACTACCCTCGCTTGGCTTGTTTCCACGTGTCCCACATATCACAAAGCTCTACTTAAATTCAACTCTATACCCACATATATCATGGCCCCGAGCAAACTGCCTCAAGACAGAATACAGACCGGCTCTAAGCTGTGTGCCTGTTCTTTGCTGGAAATATATTTAAGAAACTCCTAGTAGAATGAAAACCCAGAGGTTAAAAATGCACTTCCTTATGAAAGTGCAGTGTTGGTTGTGCTCATTAACTACAGAGCTGCGAGAGAAATATCATTCCGATGACTCACGAATGCCTCTTGGTTGGTAGGTTTTTCTTTCCTAACAGCATCGGGCATGACCTACTTTGCTTCTGAGTAACCGTACTTTTTACCTTAGGCTCCCAGGACACGCGGGCTCTCAAGAAGCGCAGGGGTCCCTGCTGAAGCCCAGCAGTTCTGTAACATGGACCCAGACGTGAACATGAGAGGAAGGGAGAACTCTGTCCCACTTACCGGTCTTCCACAGATACAGGGTGGGTGCCTCAGCCTCGCCCTGAGCCGCAGCCCCGCAGGCTCCTGGGCGCAGCAGCAGCAGCAGGAGCAGCGGAGGCAGCTGCAGGACACCCCGGCGCGGGCCCGCAGCGCCTGGGCTCCCGGACGCCGAGCGCCTCGCTCGCAGCCCCATGCCGCCCGCAGCCACTCCAGGGTCCGGATCCGGAACGCGGGTGGCAGGCAATTTTTCCTTGCGCTCACACCGTCTTCCCGAGCAGTACAGAAAGCAAAGCGCTTTCCTGCTATTGTTCGTTTCAGATGAAAAGGAGGGAAAGCGCGTTCAACACCCGGGAACAATAGCGTCCGCGGTGGCCGTGGTGGCTGCCGCCGCCTCCGCCGCTGGCGGGGATGCTGCTGCGGCTGCCATTCCGCGCAGAGTGGCAGGTCCTAGCGGAGAGGGAGGCAGCCGTCCGCAGGCGGCCCCAGCTGACTGAGCAGGTCCTCGAGGTCTGGGAGGCAGCGCAACCCCGTCGTCGCCAGCTGGAGAGAGAGGAGGGGGGCGTGAGCCGAAAAGCAGCGAGAGGGGGCTGGAGGCAGGAGGAGGCGAGAGCGCCAGGGCAAGAAAGGAAGGAGCGAAGGGGAGAGGGGGCACCCGGATCCAGCACGACCGCCCAAAGAACTCCCTTGCACATGGTGCGATGAAATATGTTTGGAAGGATACACCAATAAAAAGAATCATCACCCGACAGGCTTCAGCATGACAAATAACAGGCATTGAAATTCATCGTCATCCAAGGAGTCAAACGCTGGATCTAGGGGCATGCTATTCTTCGTGTGTATTTACACAAAGCATCAGTGTTTATAATTTGTTTTTAAGCCGTGGCTTCTGAATTACTTTACGTGGGGAGCAGTATTTATGATCAGATGTGAAAACCACAGTCGAAGAGCAGAATTGTTTACTTGCTGTTGAAATGCCTTTGAACACTTTTCTAAATGTTGTGTTTCTTTTTAACTTAATTTGTTCTCAATAGAAATATGAACAGTACTGACCCTAACTGTGACAAATCAAAGTACATTGTCTTTTAAGGTCTTTAAAATCGAAATAGTATTTAATTAGCATTCACAATGCTAATCTAGTTACGTGGATAAAATTTTATAAAAGCGAATCATAAAATTTTATTTCAAATATGCAGTAAATAAAAGTGCGGTCCCTTTATCTGCTTCTGTCAAAAAATATGCTACCTTTAAGTATCCACAGAGTTGTGAGTAAAATTAAAGGGAAAATTGGGTTTCCATTACTTGGGTATCTCCAAATTAGTACATTCCTTACTTAAAAATCCTGGACGCTAATTTCCCTGAACTCTTGCTGTAGAAAAATGCCTTTCATAATCTAAATAACCTAATGTTTTGGAGTCTTTTGTTCTTTGTGTTTTTACTTTCTTAAACCATACACAATAAAGGAATGTGTGAGAAATCAGACAATGCTTTGCCCTTTCTCTTTCTCTCTTTCCCTCAATGATAACCTTTTATTAATTCATTTTCTAGTAAAGGTACAATAATAAGGCATTCAGCCAATTAAAAAGTCAGCAAACAGAAAGCCAAAGAAAACTCTCCACATCCGGTCAGCAATACTTGGCCAAATAAAATTTAAAAAGCAGGAAAACCACTCTTAGGACTTTACTCCAACAACACAGCCAACCCAAGAGTTTAAAATGAGGAAACTACCATTTCTGAAAGAGGAAACCTTCCATAAAGCTCTCTTGGGACGCCTGCCATTTTGCAGATCATTCCAGACACAGCTCTTCTGCATGCATTAGATTAAAAGCAGGTTTGATCAAATAATTCCCAGGTCCTGCCTGTTTAAGTATTCTGACATCAGAGGAAATTAGCAATGTTTAAGGTTGCAAATTCAGTCTTTGTTTACTTTCCACTCTGTTAGGCCTCTAAGAGGGAATTAAAAGCTCAGAAAGTCCTAGCTCTGTGAGTCGGTGATTAGGAGAGATAAACTAGTGTGGATTACTATTCCTTCACTGGTTTAAAAAACAAAAAAACAAAAAAACAGGCAACAATCAAAAGATTATAGATTGATAAGGGATACCAAGGAAGCCTGATCCCAACAAATGTATGGTTCCCTAAAGGAGCATTTGTTTCACCAGTTACACCAAAGAAGAACATAGAACCTGCTACAGTTTCCTCAGTTCTGTCCTCTTAGGGCAAACTCCACAGGACATTCTGCAATGGCACTGCTCTCCTATCCTGGTTGTGTTTCTTTCTCAGCTACAGTCAGGGCCTTTCCCGTTTACCCTGAAATCCTCCAACTCCAGCGCAAGGATGATTGCAAGCTGGAAGTACTGTGTTCATAAGAGCCCAATTTAAGCATTCTTAGGGAGTCCCAAACCAATTCAAGTAGAAACTCAGTATGTAACAGAAGACAGAGAATCTAGAGTCAAGTTAGTACAATTTAATGTGCAGCATAATTAGCCCTTCAAGAAGCCATCAGATGCTACACTTAATAGCTTACTGTCAAAAGGAAATTTAAGAGGCTGATGTTTGTATTTATCTATGATTGTATAATAATTACTCATCTGGTCAAGAGTTTAAACATTATAGCTACAAGTTTAAGCATTATATATTAAGAGCCAGGAACCATTTCTAAGTCAAAAATTTACTGCCATTTAATACACAACTAGGGTGAGTATTCTGCAGCGGTGTTTGAAAATAGCCAACAATTTGTTTCCTCCTCTAATTTCAATTTATACAAGGCTTAACGGCCACACACAAACACATACACATGCCCAATCAGTTAGTAGTAAAGACATCTCTGGACAAGGTTACAGAAACCGAGTCATGCAAGCATTTGTCTCCACCACTGCCACATATCTGTTCTATAACAAGGCCATTAGTGCACTTGAGGACAAAAATATATGGGTGTCTGAGGAGACAGATGTGAAATATATATTCAGATACATGTTCCTTTGCGAGAGCTAAAGTGTCCAGTTGGATAAATCCTATCAATAAAACTGATGGACAGCAAGACATAGCAAGACATAGCAATCTTTGTTTTCTAGAATATGATATAAATAATACACAAATGTTTAAGGACATGATGTCAAAATTTAGTCATAAGAAGTCTCAGGGATGCAGATTAAATTGACCATCTGTACAGCCTGCCATGAAGTAAATCGTTCATCATTTTTCATGAAGAATTGTTCTAGTATTAATGAGCCAGGGCTACAAAAGTTTTCCAAACCAATGGATGAAAAATGAAAAGCATATTTTTTTTAATAGTTAGAAATGAGACAATTCTGAACCTATCACCCCTCAAGTGGTGTCCTTTCATCTGTCTTTATTATTTCTGTTGTCATTTCCAAACTCCAGATAGTGAGGATGTGTACGTATCTACACACGTAAATGAACCAATGTACACAAAACTACTCACTGATCGGGTGTTACAGGGAAGTATCTAAGAATGTCCGTTTTGAAATAAAAACTTTAAATAATTTTTTCTATATAAACACATCTTGCCATATTTAAAAAAAAAAAAATTCACCCAAAGGAATTCTGTTTGTGTGGCCTCTAGGTGTCATGCTTGACCAAGATTTGGAGTAGACAAAATTTATTTTGGACTTCTCTCAATTCCCTCTTTGCCACACCCACCAAAGTATTAAAAGATAAAACATTTCACTTTTTATCTTTGTAATAAGGAGTCACAGATTTTTTTTCTTTTTAAGACTTTATTTTTTTTATTATGTTATGTTAATCACCATACATCTTTAGTTTTTTGATGTAGTGTTCCATGATTCATTGTTTGTGTATAACACCCAGTGCTCCATTCAGTACGTGCCCTCTTTGCTTTCTTTCCCAATTCTGACCCTCACATTCACCTTTTCTTTCTAATTCCTTTTCTCTATAACCTCTTTTGTTTCACTTGGTTGAATAGTGTGCTGGTTTGTGTGTGAGGGGAGTGCATATTCTAAATTTCAGATAGTTTTACAGAAAGATAATTAGTCCCATAGTTTCTCCATTTTACTCAAAACTGAACCTGTTTGGAAGCAACATGGATATGCCACAAATAGTAAGACCCCTTGTTTTGAGTATCAGGTGAAAATGTACAAAATTTTGGTTCACATCCTTCTTGGGATCCCATTCTAGGCCGTGTGTGAGCATCAATAGTCCTGGACACAAGGCAGTACCCAAATTGTTAAAAAAAAATTTCACCTAAGAGGATATTTCTGTAGAGAACACCCTGGCCAATACAATGATTCAGGCATTTGAAAAGTACAGAGGAACAACATATATAAAGGCAATAGAATTGACTAGTTATCACCAGTTGTGCTGATGTCCTACAGATAATTAAAAGGTACAGGCCTTATACAAACTGTTGAAAACTAAATATGAAGGTCAAGAGTCCTTAAAGAGAGATCCCTGTCTCCTGCTGCAGTAGAGTAGAAAAAAAAGCCAAAGATCAAACTGGGAATTTTACAGTTAAGAGCTGACAACTACAAAGATGATTGTTAAACCCAGGCAAGTTTGTTATGCTGAGATCAGGGTTCTTCTTGGGAACACCTGAAACCTGATAGGTGAGACAAGTCTGTCTGGGTGGATGTCTCAAAGTCTTTGTCTCCAGACTCCTCTGAGTTCCCAAAGTCTTCCCAGCTGGACCCTCCCTATGAAAACGTAGCACACCCTCTTCTCTGCAAGTCTTCCCTGATCCTTCCTCCACCCCCTCTCCTAGTCTGGAGGCTGATAACTCACTAGGGTTAAGTAGCTGCATTAAGTCAGCAGGATATATGCTGGCCCTGTTAAGATTATAAAAGACGCTGCAAGAATTAGCTAGGATGTACTGGTAGGAGCCAGAAGAATACTCACGGGGCTAAACTTTGAATGTCTGATGAGAGGCCAGGACTTATGACAGGATAAGAGGGAGTTTGTTAACTTATGGAACACTCCAAGGAGAATGGAATTTAACACCCTGTCAAGAACTGACAGGGCAGTGCAAACCAGTGGTTCCTAGAAGCCTGGAAAGCACTGATGGAAACTGAAACACATGAATTATCAAGGCAGACAGGGAAGAAAGGGACAGGCTGGAATAAAGACATCATGGAAGGACAAGGAAGACCCAAGAATGGATTATGCTCCTTCAAGGGGACATGCAGAGGGCACACTAATCTCCAAAAACATTAGGAATGTGTTGGTGAGAGGGACAACAGCATCATAAAATTCCTTGGTGGGTCTTTGCATGCCAGAGGAGAGGAGGCCATACAGGTTTAAGTCCCTGATCCGTTGGAGTTAATGTTTGTACATGGTTATGAAGTAAGGTTCTAAATTTATTTTTATTTATTTATTTATTATTTATTTGAGAGAGAGAGAGAGAAACAGCATGAGAGGGGAGAGTGTCAGAGGGAGAAGCAGGCTCCCCGCTGAGCTGGGAGCCTGATGTGGGACTCGATCCCAGGACTCTGGGATCATGACCTGAGCCGAAGGCAGTCGCTTTACAAACTGAGCCATCCAGGCGCCCTAA